TCGCTGAACTTCGGAGTTCCGATGGAACTCGAAGCCAGTGAGCTCCCAAAAGGCATCGTGCTAGGTAGGGATATGAATATACATATAAGGCTTACATGATCCTCTTCACTGGACGATGTGAGATGTTACATACATAGATACAAATAACTTGTGGGACATATTGTAACAAAGCAAGAGTAGTCATAAACTCCTTGGCACGCAAAGAATTCGAGCCCCTTGTTTTTGGAAACAATATAAATGTTAAAACATGGCTGTCATAGCAGTGGTAAAGAGAAATAGGAAAATTCAGCCAATTGTTTAATTGATAGGATAAATTAGGGCTGGCAAACGGGTCGTGTCAGTCGTGTTCGTGTCGTTTTCGTGTAACACCTGTTATCTTAACGGGTCGTGTCGTGTCACACCCGTTATCTTAACGGGTCCTTAACAGGTCGTGTCACTTTATCCAACGGGTAAAGTGACCCGACCCGTTATGACCCGTTAAGAAAAATATATTTTTTTTCTTAAATTTGCACATACCACACATTGCCACATAAATATTACTTCAAAACATTAAAACACATTTGTCGTTTAAGTACTACATCTACACTCGAAAATTAGAGCCTAATAAAAAAATAATACATACACTACTAATCTATTACAAATTTTAAATGTGCAAGGATATGCAAAATGAAACCGTTTTTGTTTTCAAGGTTGTGAAATCTTTTTCAAAAGTTTAAACCTCAATTTACAAAATCCTCGATTTACATCGATCATCATGAAATTGCATTGGAACTTTGGCTTGATCTATTGCCTTCAAGAGTTATGTTGATGATGTTTTCAGTAAGGTTTTCCACGTCATAACTATCTTCTGCATAAACTAAGCATAGAAAAACCAAACATTAAAAATCATTCAAATTATGAGAAGTTTACCAAAATAATTATGAAAAAAATAAAACAATAGTACTATACCATACTTTTATTAAGTATAAACATAAGATTTTGTGGTATCCACTAGTGTAAATATTTTAAATTGAAGATCGAATTCAATCATTGTATTCATATAAGGTCAAGGAGTGTAGTTGTAAAAAATCATCAAAATCGGAGTTAAATTAACCGTTAAATCGTGATTTTTCGTTTATAACCGTCGAAAAGTTTTGTCCCGTTACGTGCTCTCTGAATGTTTGTTTTTTGCAATTTTTGGCGTATGCGATCTCGAAATATGTACAAACATGTTTGACGGTTGGATCATTGAAACTAATTTCGTAGAATGAGTATCCCATCAAAACAATAGATTCACTAATACTTAAGAGTTTATTCATACTTTTATTAAGTATAACATAAGATTTTGTGGTTTCCACTAGTGCAAATATTTTAAATTGAAGATCGAAATCAATCATTGTATTCATATAGGGTCAAGGAGTGTAGTTGTAAAAAATCATCAAAATCGGAGTTAAAATGACCGTTAAATCGTGATTTTTCGTTTATAACCGTCGAAAAGTTTTGTCCCGTTACTTAATCTCTGAATGTTTGTTTTTTGCAATTTTTGGCGTATGCGATCTCGAAGTATATATAAATATGTTTGACGGTTGGATCATTGAAACTAGTTTCGTAGAATGAGTATCCCATCAAAACAATAGATTCACTAATACTTAATAGTTTATTCATACTTTTATTAAGTATAATATAAGATTTTGTGGTATCCACTTGTGTAAATATTTTAAATTGAAGATCGAATTCAATCATTGTATTCATATAAGGTCAAGGAGTGTAGCTGCCAAATATCATCAAAATCACAGTTAAAATGACCGTTAAATCGTGATTTTTCTTTTTATAACCGTCGAAAAGTTTTGTCCCGTTAATTGATCTCTGAATGTTTGTTTTTTGTAATTTTTGACGTATGCGATCTCGAAGTATATACAAACATGTTTGACGGTTGGATCTTTAAAACTAGTTTCGTAGAATGAGTATCCCATCAAAACAATAGATTCACTAATACTTAATAGTTTATTCATACTTTTATTAAGTATAACATAAGATTTTGTGGTATCCACTAGTGTAAATATTTTAAATTGAAGATCGAATTCATTACTTGTATTCATATAGGGTCAAGGAGTGTAGTTGTAAAAAATCATCAAAATCGGAGTTAAAATGACCGTTAAATCGTGATTTTTCGTTTATAACCGTTGAAAACTTTTGTCCCATTACTTGATCTCTGAATGTTTGTTTTTTGCAATTTTTGGCGTATGCGATCTCGAAGTATATACAAACATGTTTGACGGTTGGATCATTGAAACTAGTTTTGTAGAATGCGTATCCCATCAAAACAATAGATTTACTAATACTTAAGAGTTTATTCATACTTTTATTAAGTATAACATAAGATTTTGTGGTATCCACTAGTGTAAATATTTTAAATTGAAGATCGAATTCAATCATTGTATTCATATAGGGTCAAGGAGTGTGGTTGTAAAAAATCATCAAAATCGGAGTTAAAATGACCGTTAAATCGTGATTTTTCGTTTATAACCGTCAAAACGTTTTGTCCCGTTACTTGCTCTATGAATGTTTGTTTTTTGCAATTTTTGGCGTATGCGATCTCGAAGTATATACAAACATGTTTGACGGTTGGATCGTTGAAATTAGTTTCGTATAATTCGTATCTCATGAAGTTCAATGGTGTGTGTGTGTGTATATATATATATTTATTTATTAAGTAGATTTAAATCTATTTATTTTGTATGTATAATTATTATAGTTTTTAGGGGTATAAAATTTAATATATATATATATATATATAATTATTATTGTTAATATTTTGGGTATAATTATTATAGTATATATAATTATTATAATTATTATAGTTAATTTAATATATATATCTATATATATATATAATTATTATAATTTTTAGGGGTATAAAATTGTTAAATTAATACATATATATATATTATAGTATTTTTTTAGGGTTATAAATTATTAAATTAATATTCTGCTTATCGTGTATCGTGTTACCTACGTGTATACCCGAACAAACCCGTTATCTTAACAGGTGCTTATCGGGTTACCCGATAACGACCCGTTTCGTTATCGTGTCGACCCGAACACCTGTTAATTTCGTGTCGTGTCGTGTCGAGTTATCGGGTCGTGTCAGGAATTGCAAGGCCTAGGATAAATAAATGGTACGTTGTATTTTAATTCGTTCAATTGTTTTTTGTTTTCATAAAATATTTAAAAGCATTTTTACTCAGCATCATTAACTTTAGGATATGCTCATTATTCTATTCAAAGAATGTCACGTAGAAATCACAATAACTTTGGTTAAGACCAATTTTTTTAATTATTAGAAAAGAATTCTTGGGTTAGGGGTGAACAAAAACGGATTCCTGAAGAGTAGTATTTTAGTTAACAAAAAAAGAGTCATATATTCTTTTTTCTTTATAAAGTTTATGTTATTCGTTTGAAGAAAGTAGAAAAACCCAAGTAAGAATGGTTTATACCCAATGGCTTTTAGGGTGCAGTCAAAAGTAGGTATCCGCAATTTGAGGGCAATCCCTTAAATCAAGAGAAAAGCAGATTGACAATGTTCATAACTGAACCTACCATGTTATGTTATGCATCTTTTACTTTTTAGAGACGAATCGAACAAAAGATTCTACTTTGTTGGTGACCAATTTCAAAACCGAACTTCTTTGAATTTGTTGACAAAACTCTTGCATCCGGAGAAAATTGGATTGAATATTTAAATATAATTAAAGGTGGAACAAGTGTTGGAGAGTCGCATCATCACATGCCAATGGGTCCTCCAATTGCCACACTTTCACCATGAGTCATTGAGTCCATTATAAATAGATCCAAATTATTCGACCCAAAAAATACTATTTCGGTTTTGTGATAGAAAAACTTGAAAGCGCTTTTAAGAAATACTTTCAAGTTTTTTTTATTGAATTTTTTATTTATAAAAATGATGGTATGACTCTAACAAAATGGCTTCAACTAAAACAAATTCATTACGTGCATACTTGTATTTTAATGAACGTTCCGAAGCGAGATTTTAGCCTAAAATCTCATCATGCATGTTTTGTTATTTGAAATGAGAATTCAATATTATGATTTTGATATTTTCAATGTTTATTAACATATGGATATTTCACCTATTCAGGGTCTTAAACTTCTCTGTATTTCAAATCATACATAATTAAAAAAAAAAAATACTGTTTTTCACACACCATCCTATATGCAATAACTGAAAAACTAAGAATTCGATTAATTATGGAAGAGTGATTGATCTCGATGCCATTTATATTCTTCTAAATATTTAATTTTTAATTCATAACTTTTTTTCGTTCTAAATAAACAAGTATATAAATATAATAAAAGGTGATTACTATGATACACATGCAATAATTTCCAAAGATATATAAATGCTACGTGGCTGAATGCTTAATAAACAAGTGGGTCAGTCCACCAATTTTGGCAGAGTCAAAGGAGCTTGGATGAGCAAGTCGCAACTGTCACTGTTTCCCAACCGTAACGTCCGTGATCACATCTCCCTCTCCTCCATCGCAATCGCATGGCCTCCCCAATCTCCATCCATCCCATATCAAGAAACAAGTGGTGCATCAATGTCAAATGTTTTAGTAAGAGTGGATAACAAAAATGATATATGTACTATGAGATAAGTATACAAATATCGTGTAGCATTTTAAAAATTACATTCTACATTCTAAACTTTATATATTAGAAAAAAAAATACAAAAGAACGTATAATAAAATTTTTAAAATGTGAATAACACTTTTCTTTAATTAAATAAAATTGTATCGCTGTGTAGTCGTGTTTATAACATACTAAAAAATGGGTCCACGTATGGGAAGAAGAAGAAGGAGCAAAATGATCGATCCAACGAAAGTACTGTACAATGTTGTATTTACTTTTATCCCCTGCATGTGTTTAGTCTTCGTCCATGTCCGACACTACATACACTGTTTGAAAAGTTAAAAAAAAAGGCACACTCTCACCTTCTTCCACCTCTCTCTCTCTCTCTCTCTCCTCATTTTCTCTCTCTAACTCCTTCCTTTCTTGGCTCTTTATTTTCTTTGTTTGCACTCATTCCCCACACTACACGGCATCATTCTCGGAGCCCAAGTATCATCAGGGCACACAGGCTCGAAACAATCTCTCTCTCACAGAGAGAGAGAGTCTCAACTCTCACAGGTAAGCCTCCTCTCTTATCTTCTTCAATGGAGAGTTTTTGATAAATTTCTCAACTTTTTGATACAACTTCAATGTAGTGACAACTGGTGTAAATTAGGCATGAATTTAAATTCTGGGTTTTCTTCGAAACATTCTGGTATCGCTGTTTCCCTTTGTTTTGAGTTGGGATGATGTTGGTATCAGACCAAAAAAATATGAACTTTCTGATGTACAACTTGAAGTGACCGATGGTGTCAACATTAATTTAAATTCTGGGTTTTTTGTTTGGAACATTATTGTATTGTTGAGTACTTAGAGTCAACGGAAGACTTAGAGAAAAACCATTGGCGTCAAACCGAGCGTAGTGGCGTTCTAGAATTCATATAGTGAATCCAGATAAAGATTTGTTTTTGTTGTGTTGTTGAATTAGGATGATGTTGGAATTAGACGAATTTGGATTAGGATTCATAATAAAGTTTCTTCCTTTGGCACACATTTCAAGGTTTCATTCTGCTTATCAGATTTTATTGATTGGATAGTTGGGAGGGTTTGAGGTCGTTGAAAAGGTTAATTTTATTCACCAGAAGAGCAGTAGTAATTCTTTTGGTTATGGGAGTTTGTTAGAGTAGGTAAAATTTAGTTCATCTACTAAATGCTTTTCTGTTATTTAGTTAGAGATATTTGATTTGGCTTATCTGTGTAGGTGTTGAATTTTTTCTGTACTTTTTGTGTGTGTGTTAGTTGATAAAACTATGGATTGTTACAGTAATTTTAATCCTTTTCTTTTCAGAGTTGATTTAAATTCGGATGCGAACGGATTTACGATGATCTCTTCTGCCACCCCTGTTGTTGAACTTTGAACTATAGAGGGATTAAAGAACATTGGCTTGATCGAAATCAGGATATATGGAGGAAAGGAAACTGAATTTGAATGCGCCTTTTCTGTCCGTGAGACGAATTACTGCAACACCAGTGATCGCAGATGGAGAGAAAGAGAAGATAATGCAGAGGCCCAATGGGCGGCATACTCTTCCTTCTTACAAATCAGACTTTCGTTTGGAGCAGGTGACAGAACCGGTTGCAGTTCCTTTTCATTGGGAGCACATCCCCGGAAAAGCCAAGGAAGACAATGAGGCAGAGCTTCAGCCTACAGAGGAGGCTTCAGTCACTCCTAGGCTTTCCCCTGGAAAGCTTATAGATGTTAAAAAACATAATTCAGAAAGGGACTATGGAGATCAAAATGCGGCTAGATCACCGCACTTTAAATCGTATTCTTTGAAAGAAAATGTGAAGGAATTGAAGTGCTCGAAAGATGTGACAAACGAGAGAATGGCCTTGGAATTACAGAATGAGGATGATGTTTATTCGGATGCACTTGAGACGATTTCCCCTACAAAGTCTTTCTCATTGAACTGTAGTGCAAGTTGTCTGAGTCAATCTGAAAGTGCAGATATAAAGCCATCTAGACCCTCCGCTATTGATCCACAAACCCGGGATTTCATGATGAATCGATTCTTACCTGCAGCCAAGGCAATGTCTTTGGAGACACCTCACGCTGCAAAGAAGCAGCATACAGCTGCACCTGAACCGCCAAGAAGAATCACGAGGGTAATCCGCCGTGAGGATACGAGGCCCTTACCTAAGGAACAAGGATCTCAAATGGAACTGCAACACGGACAATACGAAGAGGAAAAGGAAAGTGAAGGAGAAGATGACGATTACGATCCCTCTGGCTCTGTTTCAGCAAAGGGTTGTGGGTTGTTTCCCCGGTTGTGCTTGCGAAACTCTTTATGCCTCTTAGGTCCAATTCCAGGGATGAAAGTTAAGACCAGGGATCTCATGTCTTCGTCCTCCAAGGTTGCAAGACCAGAAAAATCTACTTACGGTCGGTCTCACAGCCAACAACTCAACAAGGTTGTTTTAGAAACTATCACATCTCTAGTTTCGTTTATTTATTTTCCGATAACAAAATCATATAAATTTTGACATTTTTGTATGATTTTAATTAGCATGCTTGGGATGCTGCTTATAAGCGCAAATCAAACTGTGGAGTCCAATCAGGTGAATTGCTGAAGTTGGAGAATAAGAAGGCTGGTGAGTCCAATCGCTTTACTCATTCTGGTGATCTGAAGAAAGGTAGGTCATCTCCCTTCGGGAATTCACGAAGTGCTTGTATATCCCCCTACCGGAATAGAGCACCTTGTGGAGTCAAATCAGCAGAATTTCAGAAGTTTGACTATAATCAGGCTGGTGAATCCAGTCGCTTTACACTCGCCGGTGATCTAACAAAAGGTGGTTTATCTCCCTTGAGGCATTCACGAAGTGCTTGCATATCCCCCTACCGAAATGGAGCACATTGTGGAGTCAAATCAGCTGAACTGCAGAAGTTTGAGTATAAGCGGGCCGGTGAATCCAGTCGCTTTACACACTCTGGTGATCTCAAGAAAGGTACACTGTCTCCCTTGAGGCATTCACGAAGTGCTTGCATATCCCCCTACCGAAATGGAGCACATTGTGGAGTCAAATCAGCTGAACTGCAGAAGTTTGAGTATAAGCAGGCCGGTGAATCCAGTCACTTTACACACTCTGGTGATCTCAAGAAAGGTGCACTGTCTCCCTTGAGGCATTCACGAAGTGCTTGCATATCCCCCTATCAAAATGATGCCCCTCATGGAGTCCATTCAGCTGAACTGCAGAAAATTGAGTATAAGCAGGCTTGTGAATCCAGTCTTCTTACACATTCCGGTGATCTAAACAAAGGTAGGTTATCTCCCTTGAGACATTCACGAAGCACTTGCATAACCCCCTATCCGAATGAAGCACCTCGTGGGTTCCATTCAGCTGAAATGCAGAAGTTTGAGTATAAGCAGGCTTGTGAATCCAGTCGCTTTGCACATTCTGGTGATCTAAATAAGGGTAGGTCATCTCCCTTCAGGCATTCACGTAGCACTTGTATATCCCCTTACAGAAATGAAGCACCTCTTGGAGTCCATTCAGCTGAACTGCAGAAGTTAGAGTACAAGCAGGTAAGTGAATCTAGTCGCCATACACATTCCGGTGATCTAAACAAAGGTAGGTCATCTCCCTTCAGGCATTCACGAAGTGGTTGCATATCCCCCTATCGAAATGAAGCACCTAAGTCTCCATTTCCGGGAGTAGGATTTCTTGGCGTTCCCAGAGAAGAGAGCACCAAAGCCAATAGTAAGTCCAATTTGCATAAAAAAGGTGGTCACAGCTTTCGGGAAGTAACAAGCCATCAACGAAATATACAAGGGCCACGCTCTGAGAGCCCTATTGTTGAGAAGACGCTGTATGTAGATACTGTAAATATTGGCAAACTATCAGATTCGAATTCCAGTTCTTTTGATACCAAAGAACAAGTCGACTGTGCTGATGAAATTTTTGATACCTTATTAAAGAGAAGAGACATGGAAGAAACTTCTTCTGCAGAATCTCCGTTTCAAGACATCAAATGCCTGAATAATTTCGAGGCTGGTGGCAAATTGGAAACTGAAGTATTCGAGTCTGCTGATGACAACTCATCTTCATTATGTGACATATCACACTTCAAAGGCCAAATAGTTGCTATGAAGGACTCTCTGCTGGGAATTGGTCAGGAAATTGAGGCCTCTAACTATTCAAACTCTGATACTAATGGAAAGCTGGATACAAAAAGTGGTCAGATTATAACTGTACAGTCTCCTCTTCCCCCACCTCTACCAAGATCACCTTCCGAGTCTTGGCTTTGGTCTACCCTTTCGTCAATTTCTTCACGAAAGTCATTTTCACATGCGCATACTAAAAGGCTGGAATCGGAGACATCCTCCATGAGTACCAAGTGGGAAACCATTGTCAAAACTTCCAATTCGTGTAATGATCATGTGCGCTACTCTGAGGTAATAATCTCACCATCTTTCATTCTCACATAATTTTGTATACAGTAGAAGTTTTCTGTGACAAAGGCAGCTCTAACATTTTTATACCTTGACAGGAATTAATTACTCGTTTTTCTCAGCAATCCTAGAGTAAGATTTGCCCGGGTCTTCCAAAATTTTCTTTTTGTTTTGCTGGCTTCATCGGAAGAGTTGGTTTGAAGGTGATCTGAGGTAGCTAACTCGAGCTGGCCAATTTATTTTTGGAGGTTCTCTTCCTCCAATTGTTTTTGCTACTGTATACCAGATAAGCAACTTGGGTTTTCAGATTCTGCTTTCTGCTTTTTTTTTTTTTTTCCCCTGTCTACATTTGAGTTCCTCTTACAAATTCCTTGTAGTTGAAGCAATTCCCATATCAGTAGCTTTTAATGTGTTGGCTTTGATATTTTTAGGAAGTCAATCACCCTAAAGATGATCATTCATTTACATTTTGCTACTGATTATTAAAATATTTGTATATTTCAGGTTTGTAGTTTCTTTGCTTCAGTAAAAGTATATGTATATTTCTGTGTTGGATTGTTCCTGGAGCTAGAAAGCTGAGATTCCATCAGCATTTCATTTGTCCCTAGAAAAATGAATTCAAAGACATCCCCCCGCTCTTAAGCTACAGAAGGCCCGTGTAATTTTCTGGACTGTTCGACTACCAGACAATAGAAATTATGAATCCTTTGGTAACTTTTGAGAGCCCATTCTTGAGTGCCTCAAATGTTGGGTTTCATTGAAAGTATATTCGAACAAAATCGCGTCATACGCCAATCTATGTTATAGTACGAGTCAACGAGGAGTTTATGCTTTGGCACGTTGTATAAAGCACCGAAGAGAATTGCTAAAGAGGCTTTTTCAAAAGTGACTCTCTCTGTAGACTTTTCGACACCTCATCTTTGTGGCACAATTTCTGTGCGAATGTTATAAAATAATGTGCTAAAAAAACGAGGTGACGGAGAGTCCATGAAGAGTTCCAATTTAAAAGAATCTTCTTAGCATTTCTCAATCAGCGAATAAGTCTAATAATATGATAACCTTTGTTTAGTGCGCTTATGTACTAACTAGTCACCTGCTTATTTAATACGGATAAGTTTCATTTATGCAGTTGACACCTGGATATTATTAATTGATTTATGTGTTAGAGTGAACTGGTTATACTACCAAACAGTGCTTAATTTAGAATCACACAATAATTTCTCATTTCATTGTTTAATTGACATGAGAAACAAGGACATGTCTATGCAAGTATTTTCTTCTTTTTTCTTTCAAAAGTGAACAAATCAATTAGTTTTATGTTTTCTTTTGTATGTCAACTTTTAACTTCCTTCATAAAATTTTTATTTTAATATCAAAGTTAGTCAAGCGGAATTTTCACTCCTTCGTGAGAGTTCTCATTTCCTTCGTGAAAGTTCTTCTCACCGCATGCATGTGAGTGCATCTCCCACTTCTGTTCTCCTCCTCGCTGCCACCGATCCTAGCTATGGCTAGGGTTGGTGGTAGCCCTTTGCTCCTCTTGTTTTCCTTGTCTTTCCTTTTGTCCATGCTGGTTTTTTCCTCTACTGCTGCCTTTGGTTTCCCTTCCTCAACTCCCCTTTCTTCCTTTCCTTTTCCCTCCACCTACTTTGTTTTCATCACTCCACATCCTATCCTTTCCACTTGGCTCACTCCTCCAATGCTCTCATCCTCTAGATCGGCTTCCACTAATCCACACCGTGAACACGAATCTTTGCGATTCCCTTTTAGGAGGGGAGATATGTAGAGCTTCGGATTTTTTCGATGCTCGAGTGTTCTTTCCACCTTCTTGCCTTAACTTGGCCTTGTTGCCTTTGTTGCTTGTGGGTTGTTTCCTGTGAGCTTCCTTCGATTTGTGGTGTCGATCTTCGATGTGCTCTTTGGCGGTTATTGAAGCCTTCTTTTAGCCACTTTGAGGGCTTGATTTGGCTTGCTTTCTGACAGCTAGTTCGAGTCTGGAGGTCCTTCAAACGGCAGCAGCGGCGGAGGGTGTTGCAGCAGAGGCGGAGGAAGCTACGCCAGAGGATGCAAGCTATTGGGTTTTTTTTCTTCTGTTTTTTGTTGGGCTTGGGTTTGTTGTACTTTGGTCCATACTTTTGTTGTTGCGCTTGTGTTGTATGTGGATCTCTCTCTTGTAACTGTGTGTTGTTGGTAATAAAACTTGCAGTCCAATTTTCAAAAAAAAAAAAAAAAAGTTAGTCAAGCAACCAAAACGTTATGGTACTTCCATATTTTGATAGAAATGATATTTACATTAAAGTGTTATCTGATTTAAACTATGAGAAGGACTCGAACTCGGGTGTGTAATAAAGCATATATATCCTCTCTAGTCTCTAGCCAAAATGCACAATCTTTCTTAAACTCGAGAATTGTGTGTCATAATGTCATTTGCTACCCACCAATTGGAAGTAGGTGCACCTAGCTACTAACCCGAAGACTTAGCGAACATGCTTAGTACTCTTCAGAATGAAAAGAAGTAAAATTCTTGGGGCTTGTAAATTTGTGACCCTTTCGTTCATGCATGCAAAACCTTGTTATCATAATACCATTGAGGGTTTAAGGAGTGAAAACCGAAAGACTCACCAAAAAAGAAGAGAAAGAAAAACCCTAAGCTTATATAAATGCTTTTAGAACAAGTATTTCACAGTACGTTGAGAACTTTTGACACAGGCCGAGCCAAGGGGGTCTCGGGAAGACGATGGAGATATATACCTGGGAATCACTAACCAGCCTCCTCAATGCCTGGCTGGCTCCATGACATTAATTAGTATAGACTGGAAATTTGTTTGGATATACTTTTATATTCACTATTTGCACCTCAGACCAGATTAGGTCGACAACAAGAATTAAAGAGAAAGAGAAAGCTTAGTGCTAATTTCCTGTTTAACTCTTTGCCCAGTTCCATAATGATCTTCACTAACCATACGATGTCTGGAAAGAATCTTCTTTTCCTCATAATTCTCAACTCTTTGGCCCAGACCCAATTCCAGTTGTGGCATCCATTCTTTGTACTTAGAAAAATTTTCTTCATTCAGCTGTAACGGAATTCCGGTAGTAATTAAAATGAATAAGAATTAACATGTACGGAATCAAAATTAAAAAGTAATGAAATGTATAATATATATATATATATATATATATATATATATATATATCAGAAGACTAATCTGCAGACTGTAAAGCATACCTCAAACCTAAATGGCGACTTGCATTCGGTTTTGTAGCAACTGGAATTGGTGATAGAATTGTGTGTGTTTGATGGAAATTGCCTTACGTTTCTGCTCTCTCCAAGGTGCCAGTTTGGTGGTCTTAAATTGTGAGATTCCCCTATCAACCTTGGTGTGGTGTGCATATGATGCATTAGATGGTCAGATTGGGAGCCATGACGATTATCTGACCAATTGATTTTGGCAGCTGGTCTTCTTTTAGCCCTCCATTGTTGTTTGTTAATCGTTTCAAATGGAGGCCTTTCCTCAAGAAACTTGCTAGGGTTTATCGGTAAAGTTTGCAAGATTGTATCTATAGATTTGTTCGAGTTGTTGCCTTTTGCGAGTTCTTTGTTTAGTAGAGAACTTGACCTAATTATAACAACAATAGAAGCATGATTGTAGCGCCTATAGCTAGATAAAAGAGAATAGTTACAATACCAAAAAAATACGTACATCATTGGTCACTAACACTAGTCATGACACGAGATGAGGTGGCTAAAGTCACTATCAGTGCCTAATGATTATTACCAAGCATGTTTATTATAGGTAACTAACGGCTTTAGCCACCTCATCATGTGCCAACGATGTTAGTGACAATTTATGTTGATTTCTTTTAGTGTTAGTGTGTAATGTATATATACCTTGAGCTAGCTTTAAAATCTGGCTGTGATTGGCTATGACAGTCGTGTGGATTTGTTGCTACAACGATGCCACCGTTGTCCATTCTAAAGTATACATGTCGACGAGGCTGGTTGGTTGTTTGGTGCACCATGCAAGATATGTAATCCCTTCCATGCTTGGATTCGTGGTTTTCAGATAATACTACAGTTTAGAAGAATTATTTTAAACAGAAAAAGTTGTTAAATAACTTAATCTTGCTAATTTTATACTAAACTCAACGATGATATCAGATCAACCTTTACCTTGGCCATTCCCATCAAGCTTCTTACTTCTATACATCTGACAATTGGAAAATGCATGATTGGGAGGAATTAGTAATTTGGAAAAGAAAAGAATTAAGTCTATCAGGATCTGATTAATTAGAAGGATATGATTATTTTGACAAAATAATTATTTCCGAACCTGCAAGTGACTCTTTACATGAGAAATGCTAAGTCCTCTCACATTCATTAGCTTAAGAACTAATTTAGGAGTTGCTCCTGCATCGATACGAAAAGAACAGAAACATTATTAACGTAAAGAGGACGTAATTAAGTAAAGTAATAACAATAATAATGTAACTTGATCTTAATGTTCCTATATAGTACATGGTTTTTTTTTTTTTCTTTAAGTGTTAAAAGCGATTTCAAGTTCGAATCCATACTCTCGATAAAAAATCTATCTACTTCTAAACCTTATTATTGGAGAGACGCGCATTTAGGGCAAGAAAGTACTGTTCATCTTGATGTAAAAGTGCATATACATATATATGATACGTATCTAGCTAGAAACTTACTATCTTGGCCACCCAGTCTTTCAACAGCGTGCACAAAAGAAAGATGGAGTTGAGGTGTCCACCGAAGACGAGGCATTTTCGATCTCACATATTGCCTTACTTTAACTCTCCGCCCTTCATTTCCTTCACTAGAGATATCATTATCTGCAGCTTTATTCCCTTGGCCTCTTTCTTCATTGTCACTACTTGCTTCTTCATTCAAATCGAAGGATGAGAATTTCTGGGACGATCCCACTGATCCGTTTTCTACTTGTTCCTCGCTGATCTCGTTACTCTTCTCAGCTTCCTGATAACCAAATTCTAGCTCATCCATTATGTCTAGCTAGCTGCTTAGTTCCCCAGAATGATTAGTTCCCTCTTTATCAGCTAGGTCCGTGCGTTGCTGAAAATTAACACCAACCAGAAGTTAAAATAGTGGATTTCACTAGAAAAGAAAAGGGAATTAAACTATTGTTAATTGGTAGTCTAGCAGTATTTTTTAATGCCACATGAGTGAGATACAACTACTGATATATTTCCAACTCTCCTGGTTATAGCTAATACTATATGTTCTTAGTCATCCTGCAAACATATTTGGTAAGATTGGGATAGAGAAAATAACATTTTTTTTAAGAATAACTTAAACAGAAACCCTGATTGGTGGACATGATTAAGAAAATAAAGATCGAAGTTATTAGTGTGCTGACAACAAGAGTTTCATATAATCATCAACATGTTGACAAGAGTTCAGCTATTATTGCCCGTCTGGAATCAATTAACAAACAAGAAAGAAATTAAAGCTTTACCTCTCATGTTCCAATGTTTAATGATTCCCCCATTTCATAAATATATTCATACAAAAAATGGGGTTTTGTTATGATTAACTGTTGAGAGAGAGAGAGATAGATCGAGAGATCTTAATTTTTAATTAGCAGTAGATCGAAAATCATTGTTTACCGAAACTGAGTTTTTAGGTTGCAAATAATGATCCTATCTATCCAGTAAAAACAAGCTGATAACAATCAACTTGTTTACCCAAAAAAAAAAAAAAAAATCAACTTTGTCTGATTAATTAAGGTTAATTAGTTCTCAAAGAAAACATGCTGTTTATGATCCGTGTAAACTAGGGATGAGAGACAACGATCGAAAAATGAAGAAAGATAAGAGAATAATTAATAGACACTAATCATGAATCGCAATCATTGTCTTCTTGAAAAACTATACATATCAATATATCATTACTTTGAAAAATTTTGGAAAACAAAGAGAAATCAAGGGAGAAAAATCAATCAAGTATACTAGCTTAAGTAAAGAGTACTTTGCAATTCACTTTCTTTCCCCCAAAATATAAACACCATTGGTGGTGAGAGTAGCACTTGCCTCAATCCTTCTTCCGAGTAATCAAACATTTATTCTATAACCGATGCCTAGATGCAGTGAGGGAGGCGATTGACTGAGATGCATAAGTGTTTCTCGGTTCTGCGAAGCTTTTGTTTGGTTCCAAAGAATCCAAACCATGGAATTAAGGTCATTCAAATGTAGATATTCCAAGACTTTCGTGGCATAAGAAAGTTAATACTTAATACTCACATTATGGATACAGATCATGCCAGTGCTGCAACTTCCTTGGAATATTGTTGGAAATCATGTGAGTCCTCTCCCACCCTTTTTGCCTCTCGATCTCTTTTTTTTTTTTTTTTTTTTTTTTTTTTCAGTTTTTACACTTGTGTCCTTTTAAAATCTCTCTCTCTGAGTTGTGTGTTTGTGTGTATGTCTCTCTCTCTCTAGCTCTCTCATAGACACACAATATGCTCGTTGCTATCTTAATTGTCTTGCACTTGACCTCTGAGGAGACTCCTCTCTAATCTATTGGTTTATTAATGATAATCAACATTTTGTTCTGTTGAGCAAGTTTCATCTAGGTTAATGTAATCAACTAATTATTGATTGTTTGAGAAAGAGTGAGGTGGGGCCTCTATATGTCATCACTCATCACTCTCCATTTTCTTTCCCACCTAAAATTGGACTTTTCCCCAATATCAACAGGCAGCTGTTTTCGTGTGTCGTGCTTAGGTTTTTCAATTTCCTTACATTATTGGTAAGGTTGTTTCATACAAACACTGGAATTTTGTAGGGGGCCACATGCATGGTGATTGAGAATTCTTGAGATTGAATAGTGGTCAATTTTGGTGGGACTTCATGCGCCTAATCAAAGCTAACACAAATGGCAGGCATACATCGATCAAACTTCCTGCAACCTAATTTCCAATTGTGCAGATTGATTTCACACGGGTTAATCGAAGAAAGTTGAGAGAAAATATGAAGAGTAACTAAACTCTTAATTAATAAGCATGTGCAAAGTTTTTAAGTTTTTAATATGGAGTTTACACTCTCAATAGGTCTGTCCCCTCTCGTGTGAGTGTGTTTAAGCCTAATACAAGAGTAAAACGTATTGGGTGACATGAGAGCAAGTGAACTGTCAATTCAACATGTGAATCAATATGCTCTAATACCATGAAGAAACTTAAAATTTCATCATAAAACTAATTAACAATATAAAGAGTAACTTAAAACACAATAAAATCCGTTAATTCCTCAAGTTGCAATTCAATTTGCTATTATTAATTATACATGCATGCATTCACATCTGCAGACAAATTAAATATACTTTAACCAAAATGAATGACTATTCTAGAAGTTGAAAAAATGACTTCAAATTCTACGTATATATTACTATAAAATTAAGAAAAAAAGAATATATTACAGATATGATGTATGTTTTTGCATTAGTCCAATGGCATATATGAATCGCCTTAGGGCATCATCTAGTCAAAATTGTTGGCATTACTTGAACAGAAGATAGTGAAGCATGCATAAGTTCATGATGATTTTGTGGAAACTTGTCAAACTTGATCCTTTAACGTTGCTGAGAAAAGGTGCTGATATCAAGGGAAAGGGGGTCATCACCTACCTTTTTGACTAGGTGCACTTACCCTTATAGGAAATACCTGTTAGTGGAAGAAGCTAGTCTCGCTACTAACTCTATTGACTACTTACCGTATAGCTAAAAGTCATTTCGATTATGTCTTCTAGGAGAGGTTAAAACTCACATTTGTCACTATATTTCATGACAAATATCTGCAACAAATAGTATATATGCTTACAAAATAATACTTAGCCGTCCCAATTGACAACAAATCTACTTGTTCGCCTTGCAAAATGAGTGCAGTGGCAATTGTATTTAATCAAGATTATCATTTACATGCAGATGGCTGCAAGAACGAAAATCAGAAGCAGATGATGTTGATGAAGATGATGATGATGATGATGATGATGATGACATTTCAATTGGAGCAAAGTTAGAGTGCATGCTACCAAATTAGTTCCACATCTTAAAACAGACCAGCTGGCGCATAAGTTACGTCTTCGCAAAAACTCTAATTGTCAAACGCATATGTTTTTAAATATTTTTTATGTTGGTAGATTATGAATATATAAATAAATAATAAGATTAATCATTATATGAATGTGTAGTTCAACTCATTGCTGTTAGAGAAGGATCCTTGTCAAAGGGAATCGTATCTCCTAAAGTATAGAAATCAATATTATAATCTAATTCTAATTGTATTTTTAATTGTATCCTTACTTGTACGCCAAGTATACACAATTATATATAGGCATTTGTGCTATGAATATAATGATCAAGATTATAATTTCTACATGATATGAGAGCAATTTAAACAAATATGGTGAACTTTTACTAAGGCTTTTTTTATTAGCATTCCACATAATGTTGAATACACCACACATAAAATTTAATATTAAATCACTTATATATCTAATATGCAATGACAATTTTAACTTCATAAAGTTAAATAAAAAATCTAAATACACCCCAAATCACAACTTTAACATGTATATCCTACAATTATTTTTCTTCAATTCTCAAAACCAATCTCATCCTCTATTGTAGTACAAAACCTAAAGTAATGAAACTACAAACATGTTGATCACAACTTTAAAGCCCAAGGATATTGATCAATAGCCTCCTGATTTTCATTCACCGTACCACTACAACTTCATCTCCGTATGAAATCAACAAATTTGCCTTGTTATGACGATTTTCACAAAGGGGACTCAGAACTTGAGGATTCTCGTTATGACGCTTCAAATTACACCCAAACAGGAAGGGAAGGAGAGGAGCGTCCAAGTCAAGCTACTCGCTACTTTGGCTGTGATACCAAAAGCTCTTGCAGATGCACATATGATTAGTTGTTTTGTACATACAATGAAATTCTTCAATCCAATGATTCATGGAGGCATTCTATCAACCCCACACTCTTCTTCAACCCGGTTTCATTGAGTAAAAAAAATTTAAAAAAAAATGTGGAGTGGAGTGTAGGTAAAAAAAATGTGGGGTGGATGTTGAGAGTGTGGGGTGTAAGGGTATTAAAATAAAGTATGTAGGATGTATTAAGATAACTTTTAATTGAAAAAATAAATATAGGGTGTATTCAACAATATTTGAGATGATAATATAATAAGCCTTTACTAATCTCTATTATCATTTTCTCTACAATCTAAAGTGGTTTACTTTCCAAGACGCCCAGAGAGAAAGTCGGACTGTTGTGTGACAAAGAGGTCCTCCTTATAGTCTTTGAAAAAGAAGAGGAATCATCTCAAGGAACTGGTTAAGTATAATGCTTTTGTCCCCGTGTGGGGTCCCTATTATCATTCATGAATTTTTGCTCGTCGAACATTATAATTTGAACTATTTTTTTTATTACCATCTGAAGTTCATACCTGCAAAATATCTTTTAATTTGGAAAGCGTTTAATCATTTATACATATTAAACCAATTAACGATTTTACTAAGTAACATCCTTATGATTAATCATCCATTTATTTTGTGCATATAAATGGCTAAATAGGTCTCTAGATTGAATAAGTTTTTGTATGTATATATGATCTTTAGAGGTCGCACTTGGTGCGATGACAAGTGCCTACGCCCATGAGCGGTAGGTCTCGGGTTCGAGACTTGGGAGCAGCCTCTCCATAAATGGGGGTAAGGCTAGCCGACATTCACCTCTCCCAGACCCTGCGTAAAGCGGGAGCCTTGTGTACTGAGTACGACCTTTATGTATATATGATCTTTAGATAATGATAAAGAAAATAAATGGTTTTAATTATAATGTTCGAATGGTAAATATTCATTAATCATAAGTGGAGTGACAATTAAATTCTATGAAAGAGACAAGCACTATCCATTGGTTAATTTGACTGTTTATCCAAACAAAATTTGGGTCAAGTTAATTAGCTAATCGATCGATTACAATTGAATAAAACAAACCACTCAGTCATCAGCTTCTAAATTAACCTAATGGGACGGTCGTCCTTTCCGACTTTCAATATTATGAAAATAAAGGCATTGGCTCTTTTGTCTTCACGTATGCATGGCATGGGGAGTTGACAATTTCAATTTCTTTTTAATCTTAGAAAAGAATCTTTCATTTAGTTTAATTAAATGTAATTTCTCTATTATATTCCAACACAATCGAGACGTCCAACCTAACTAAGCTCACATCACTCTGCAATTAAAAATGGATATTGGATCTTAATTTAATTTAACCAGAAAGGAGAATCATGTCTGGTTATACTAATTTAATGGGGGTTTAATATGATTTCATGCAGTTCGGGTATTACTCTGTTTGTTTCTTATGATTGTTTGGAGATTTCACATTTCATAATTTTGTTTTTGGATTTAGGAATCGATCATTGACTCTGGAGAATAAGTGAAAACTAGCTGACCAAAATAATGTTGTTTTCATGCAAATGCCTTTTTCTCACCGTTTTCATATAATATCAGATGAATTTCGATGTAACATTGTTCAACGATGGGCACATGTAACATTTTTCATATACAACATGTAGTTGGACCCATCTGTTGATATGTTGATTAGCTTTTTTTTTTTTTTTGTCTTTTTGGTCGGAACATTGATTGATTAGCTATTCAAACAAAAAGTATGCAATTCTGTATGGCGGAAAATGGGAATATAATCATTGTATAGTCTAAGATAAATTTTGGTCATCGCAGCCACATGGTATATCAATTCACTTGTGTTATAACATAAGTTTTAAATGATTTTCGTGTCATTTTATCCTTTTGCACATCTTTATTTATTTATTTTTCTTAATTTTGATTTGATTTGTTCAATTTAATAGCTAATAAAATAAAGTGTGCATATCACTTCTTTATTTTATTTATGAGTTCCAGATATACTCTAATATAAATTTTTTGTCACTTATATTGCAGTACGTAAATTAATAACAACACATGAATGTGATACAAACATATCAATAATTCATAAAAGTGCCATATACTACAAGCTAATAGAGGGAGCATCATATTTGCAATGTGAAAACAAGTCCGATCTCTGTACATGTCTCCTTGAACTGTTGGAAGGGCGTCAGGAAAGGTTGGTAATTAACAATAATATCTGATTCTAATATATGATGCTTAAGAACGATGGGGGCATTCAGAATAGGAAAATATACAATAAAATATTTGACATTTAGAAATGATTAGGTTTGAGTAACGATGATATATTGTTCATATATCGACGATATAACGACAACGCAACGAATAATATAATAATAACATACTAAACAATAATCATTTGTGCAGTCAAAAGTCAAAATATATTTATTGTAGGGGGTACCCTTTTAAAATAAAGGGTTATTTTTGGACAAACATTTGGAAAGGTTTAAGGTGCATGGTTTTGTTGAAGCCAAGAGTAACGACATAAGACCACCTGACAGCTTCATCAACTTCAAAAATCGGATAAAAAATTT